TAGCCATTGTCAAGGATGATTCGATTTTTCCGTTCCCTACCACACACTAAGACAGGCACAGAACGCACACACTCAATTAAGCTGAAAAATTGAATCATCCTTGATAATGGCTAAAGGTAATATTCTTTAATTTAACATATTACATCAAAAACATGCAAAAACGCTACATAAATGCAATCATGTTTCGATGCGTATTAACACATCTCGTCAGCTATTAGTAAATAACTGGTGAGTAGACAATTTATTGACATTTAAAAACATCATACAACCTCTTTTCCCGCTAAAATGGAGAAAGAAAAGGGAGGAGATAGCAGCAGGGCTTGGTTTGTTTTTATTCAGATCAACCGAAAGTTAAAAAAGCAATCAAACGTTAAGTGGTCATGGCACACAGATTTAAAATCGTATATATATATATATATATATATATATATATATATATATATATATATATATATATATATAATTATTTAAAAATATGATTCCAATTCGCGACATAAGAGATCTCATGTTTCAAAACAAGAGCCGAAAACTTCAATATAATTATTTGAATTAAATTGAGTTAAAGTAAGCTCTACTTCTGTATCGAGCACTATTTTTAAAAAAATAATAACTAAAATACTACTAGTGTAGCTGATTATACATCACGAGATGTACAGTAAGGGGCAGCAGACCCAACATGACAACAGTATTCAATGGACGGACGAATGGTAGATTTATAAATATGCAAGATGGATTCAGACAAGAGACATTTTCTGGCACGACACAGTGAAGTAACTTTCCTTGCAGTCCATTTAACTAGTGCATCTGATTATTTAACAGAAATTATGTGACGCCTTCTCCCGGACCAAACCTATAACTTAGACGCCGAGGAGCGTAGAAGTTTCTCCTTTTTCACCATTGATCAAATATATAAATAGGCTTTCTAACGCATCATTGCCCGGTAAGACAGACCCGAGAAACTCATATGCATATATTAAAACGAGCCGGATCTCTTAGAAAGAATTAATTAGCGTAATAAATCTTGACAAGGTAATTCACTATTTCGGCTGGAATATGTCACCTCATTAAAATCACACAAATAAATTAAGCGATCGGATTGATACGTAAGGTTTCTAAACCTTTAAATCAAATTTTAGACCGGGGTGAATAATGACCTAGTTATCAAAATGAATTAACATCTCTCTTCAAAATTACTGGAGTTGGTTGGGATACGTGGGTTGATTTTACAGTCATCGCTGGGGATAGTTACTATCCAATTATCGTATCAGGAATTGAGTGTGGATCGATCACATAACTCAGTAGAAACGGTCGACGAGATGAACACTCTCAGTTATGCCACCCCGAAGTCCATTGCAAAATGAGGGATAATTGATAAGCAAGCTATCCAATGCTGTAAAATAATTTCTTGACCAGATGGAATACTGAAAGTGGTGTCAAAATGAGACAAATTTATCCCCGTTTAATATTTTGCGAATTGATTGTATATACAAAATCATCTATATTTCTGAAATTAGGTATTTATATTATTTACATTATTCGGACTTTTCTCATCTTTATTGCCATGTCCACGACTTTTCGGCCGTTGTACGCTCCGGCCTTCTTCAGGTAATAGGAATTTCGAACTGAAACCTTTATTTCGTCCACCGGGGTAGATTGTTCTAGTTATACGCACCATACTTTTTCATGATGTCCCCTTTTAACTTAACTCTCCGATTTTTTGTTCATGGCAATAAAGATGAGGACAACAGTCCCAACAGTTTAAATAATGTACTGTTTTTTCTTTGTTTTCAGTGACATTTTGCTGTTTTTTTCATACTTTACAAACGGCAAAGGATGATTGAGAAAGCATTATCTCTGCTCCTATAAAACAAGTTTTAGATCAAATCAAATAAAGAAACTGTAAGCAAAATAAAGTAAATTTACTTCTCTTCAAAAATTCCGACTGTTGATCGCAGAGGAATGAGACCAAAGAACTTGATTCAATCTGCGCTGCTATTTAACCCATACATTCCGGGGAGAAGTGATAGAGAAAATGACCCACATAGAACATGCTGAGTACATAAAGGACAGGGAAACAATTTCCGAAAAGTAGTTGTGTAAAATTCAATATAACGATCTCAACTATTTAAAAAAAAAAATAATATCACCCCAGGCAAGGCAATAAAGCCACTAAGATACAACGGGTTACTGTGAAAGAATAACAATAAGAAAAAACATTATTAAGGAGCGAGAACAATAAAAGAAGAGGAAACACTAGAATAATGATTTACTCTGCATTTAACTTTTTGAAGATCAAAGTTAACTGGAAAACAAGAAGACAGAAGAGAGTTCCGCAAGGGATAAGCGCGAAAAAAGAAACTGTTAGCAAAAAAACTTAAGATAATATCTAGCGAATTCAAGAGTAGAAGGATGAGACCTTACAGCCAATCTAGTACTGAGCTTAAGTTCATAAATTCAATAGAGGAAAGTGATAGTTAGTTTGAAAAATGCAAAAAACATGGCACAATGCCAAAAGTGGGAATAAGAAAATGCTGATCTTCAGTTAGCCTTATCTTAAACTTAGATCACCTAGATTACTGACCCAACATACGACAGTATTCGTTACACCAAACCAACATATTTTGACTTACCATTCTTGCTACAGCCACCGTAATACCTCTTAGTCTCTATATAGTCCGAACTAGTTCCCATATGTACAATTTGTCGGTTAGCGGGGATAAAAATACAAATATCATAGAGGAAAGTTCACCCGAACAATTGCCATAAAGGAAAAGCATAGGGTAGCTACATCACGGTGGTGGGAATGTGACTGAAGCCGAGATGCCAGAGCAGGACCGGTAACATTGCAAATTCTTCTTTGGATTTTTTGCCAATAATCTCTAAATATATAGCAAGATCATCAGATGATATTTGACAGCAATATTCGATACATGGATGAAATATGTAAGATTGGTTCTGGAAAGAATAATTGTCTCGGTTGACACTGGGAAACAGCTTTTTTGAATTATAACTAGGCTCCTTAAATTCTCGTTCCAAACCTCTAACCACATCACCAACTGCACATCTTAAAGTCCGTTAACAACATTTACCCATCCCAACATAACATTAGAATAATAAGGAATACATTAATGACAATTACTTATTAAAAAAAAAAAAATCAGTATTAAATAGGCCAGAATGTGATGATGTATTTTCAATTCAAAAACCGTAGGAAATTCTGAGAGGCGACTTAGAGTGTGTTCGTGGTTAGTGAAACCGGTCTAGTTAACGACCACGGCTGACTGGTGGGTTCGATTCTCATTGGATGCACCATGAAAAAAAATGACAGTAAATAATCCAACGAAGGTTGATATATCATAAAATCAATCAACCTTTCTTATCGACATGGGTGCATTTCTTTCTTTCTATCTCAGTCTGTTCATATCTATCTATCTATCTATCTATCTATCTATCTATCTATCTATCTATCTAAGTCTGTTCATATCTATCTATCTATCTATCTATCTATCTATCTATCTATCTAATCTGTTCATATCTATCTGTATCTATCTATCTATCTATGTTCTATCTATCTATCTATCTATCTATCCATCTGTATCTATATCTATGTCTACAGTCTGTTCTATCTCATCTATCTATCTATCTATCTATCTATCTATCTATATATCTATCTCATCTATTCATATCTATCTATCTATCTATCTATCTATCTATCTATCTATCTATCTATCTATCTATCTCAGTCTATTCATATCTATCTATCTATCTATCTATCTATCTATCTATCTATCTATCTATCTATCTATCTATCTATCTATCTATCTATCTATCTATCTATCTATCTAGTGTTAGCAAGAGTAGTCAGGTTGGCTATTATTCTTGACTAGTGAATTCGTTCCACAGCGGGTGCCTCATAAGAATTCCATATTGACGACCCTTTTAATTGTTGACATACCGTAAAATCAATCAATCTAGCCCTGAAAAGAAAAAAAAAACTTAAATTTAACTATTGTTTCTTTAGTGGCATATCAACTCATTATGGGTCATTTAATGCTGAAATTTTATTTTCTTGGGAGCATTGCTTTGACAA